AAGGCAGAACGACAGAGCCGTGTCCAGGACTTTTAAAATGGGGTGGCCCATGTGGGGCACTTGTTTATGCATGGGTGGCACCAATGGTTATGCTTATTTATTTATTTACACAATTTATTTATTTACTTTCTAGTGAATTTTGGAGTTTCACATTGCACAATCACCATTTTTTTCTATTCATCTTCTAGTTTTGTGGTGGTTAGCAAGTCACTTCTTGTTGCATTACCGCCACCAACTGGAGTTGAGTGGGACTCAATACTATTTATGTGAATATGAAAAAATAATAAATAATATTAATACTACAGAAATGTTCTGTAGGCCTGGGCTAGAAGACAATGTTAAAGGTGCATGCTACCACACACTATTTTTGGAGTTTACAACTCAAGCCTTTTGTCGACAATGTAAAGCCAATTTAAACTGGAACTTAGTAGGGTGGCACCTGGGGTGGCCAGTCAGATTCTAAGGGTGGCATGTGCTACCCCAGGCCACTCCCTGGACACGCCCCTGCAGAACGAGGGGGGGAAACGGCTGTAAGGAAAGTTTGGAGCTACAAAAAGAAATAAAAAAACAAAACGGAAGAAAGGCAGACTGCAGGACTCCATTATGTTTTGTAAAGAGGAGAGTATTGTGCTTCAGTAGACCCACCAAACTCAGTTAATCATTGTTCAAGAGGCACAAAAGGGAGCCAATAGTGGGAGGCATGCGTGCGTGCGTGCGTGCGTGCGTGTGTGTGTGTGTGCGTGCGTGCGTGTTTAAAAGACTCGGCGAGGGCCGCTTAGCGGGATGACTGACACTTGACCCGGTTGCTGCCTTCTCTTTTCAGCCTATTCAAGCTGCCTGCTCTCCATTAGGAAGTAAAATTAGCTCCCTGTTCACAAGCCTTCATTTAAGCCCCGCCCCTTAAAGGTCACAACCTGGTCCCGAGTCATTTGGGTCCATTTTGTTGAGCCTAACGAGGTGACATGGTAAGTAATTGTGCCGGCACAGCCCTAATCTGATGGCATCTCACTTGTTTAAGCTAGCAGCAGCTGGAAACCACCACCTCTGTTGGTGGTTGATGCAAAGCGGGCGGGATGAAAGCAGGAGGAGGAACGCAGGAGGTGGAAGAGCGTCACATGAAAGAGCTCAAGGCCAGGAGGTATTTTCCCACCAGGCTGAAAACCCTCTGAGCTGAACAAGTCTGACTCGTATTCAAAAGAAAAATAAAACAACCAGAAGTTAGCGAGTCAAAAATGGCTGAAAAGTCACAGGCGTCCAATTTGTCCGGCGCTTGTTTTGAAATATGAGAAACCCCTGACAGGGCGCCGTGTTTATCGAGATGGAGGAAGAGTCTGAGTGACAGCGGCGGAGACGGTGATTGTCGGGGGGAGCAGCTGGCGCGAGAAAATGATGGGCCATATTGTTGTATGATGGCTCTCCGAGTCCACCTGCTGCTCCATTAACTGTGATCCGACAACAACAGACTGCATCAAACTGCTCCCGCGCCACAAGGAGAGGTGAGGCTTCCTTCCAGCAGAGACCAAAACAAACCGACACGGTTCCACCGGACCGAATCCGATCAGAACAACGAGTCAGACCCAGAAACGACTCCAACTCTCTGGAGCCCCGGCACCGAGGGGGAAGAACCAGCAGAACCGCTGGGTTTTAAAAATGTAAGACTATTGAGTCTGCAGAACCGCAACAGAAAACAAGCATCTTCTCCAAATCTGATTGGTTTCAGTTTAAAATAAACAAAAATGTGGAAAAGTGAGTAAAATGTAGGTTTTAAAAGCCTTTCTGGCTGTCTGACCCGGTAGGTCTGCTCAGATTTACACCCAAAAGGGACAGAAACTACAACATTCATGAAGGATTGAAGCTACGTGGCTCAAAAACAAAATAAGAAGTGATATAAAAGTGTTTGGCTTATCGAAGCTAAAATGTTCTCATCATACATCCTAAATGTGCAGATTTGCTGCTTTACTTCGTCTCTGAGTGCAAATCAGAGACATCCAAACAATCCTAGAGTGCTCACACACAGCTGGACTGCTTTTTGCTTTTGCAGGTAAACACAGAATAAATTACTCTACAAGTCCAACTTTAAAGCTGAATACTTTACATTTTTCATCTTGAATGGAACAATTAGCTTTCTTTCACACTAAGATGGATTACGGAGCTTTGAGGGGAAACTAGGCAACTTCTTCATACTTTACAATCATTTTCTTGAGCCAGTAGGTGCTAAAACGAGCCTCTACGAGGTTAATGAAAGGTCACTCGGACCCCCACCTTTCAGTGCTACAGCATTTACAGCATTTGCAACTTCAGAGTGCCGGCCTGGTCTGTTGGAGCTGACATACCCGGCGCTTCAGTCTGCTTCCTGCCTGTTTTCCATCAGGAGCACAGCTGAGTTGTTTGATTTAGTGATGCACCACTCCTGCAGACACTAATTAAAGCCGAGGAGATGCTTCAGCTGTTAGATTAAGGTGTTAAAATGATGAACTCACAGCGAGGAGATACGTTCAGCTTTTGGTTCTACTAAACGTACACTAGGGGTGCTAAAAGCTAGCAAACTGCCAAGTGTGCCTTTAAAATTGCACTTCCACGACTTAAAAGCTTGACACTTTACACTTTTCAGCTTGAAGTGAGAAAATTCCTTAAATGAGAATATAAATATTTTCAGATGGACAAAAAAGATCACACTGGCTTTGTTTGAACACATGTTTACCATAAATGTACGTTTCATTAATGCGTGTGGTAAAGTGGCACCTGTAGCACCTGTGGGGAGCATTTTCTAACGTCTCTGCAGCCAGATGACTCGAGTGTTGACCCGAGGGGACGCTGTGTGTGGCACAGCGGGATTAGCTTCAACGTCCAGCTTTAAATTAATGTGTGACTTTAGTAGGTGTTGATTTCACAGTGGTCGTGTCTGCTCCCCGCTCACCTCAGCCTCACAAACGGGCCTCCCCGATGGCAGAAAGAGGTCTCTAAGAACTGGGAGGACCCATAAAAACGGTTCCGCCCATGCCGGTTGGGCTGAAACGTCACGGCCAATTTGTTAACAACAACCGATTTAGCATGGCTGTCTGCGGAGGCTGGGGCTGGATCGATGACGTTTTTGGTCTTTTACTGACCTGAACGGTCGCTTCGGTGAGTCGCTGAAGACTTTTAAACATCTGGTGAAACGACTCGAGTAAAGTTTGGTGTGGAGAACGTGTTTGTGTAGGAAAACTCCGTGGAAACCGTCGCTTGGTGAAAACGTCTAATGAACGGGATTTATGTTGCCAAGTTACTGGTGTGTGTGTGTGTGTGTGCGTGTGTGTGTGTGTGTGTGTGCGTGCGTGCGTGCGTGTGTATGTGTGAGTGCATGTGTGCGCATGTGCATGTGTGTGCGTGCGTGTGCGTGCGTGTGTGTGTCTGTGTGCATGCATGCGTGTGCGTGTGTGTGCATGCGTGTGTGTGTCTGTGTGCGTGCATGTGTGTGTCTGTGTGCGTGCGTGCGTGTGTGTCTGTGTGCATGCATGTGTGTGTGCGCATGTGCGCATGTGCGTGCGTGTGTGTCTGTTTGCATGTGTGTGTGTGTGTGCGTGTGTGTGTGTGTCTGTGTGCGTGTGTGTGTGTGTTTCTGTGCATGCGTGTGTGTGCGTGTATGTGTGTGTGTGTACGCATGTGCGTGCATGCGTGTGTCTGTGTGCATGTGTGTGTGTGTGTGTGTGTGTGCGTGTGTGTGCATGCGTGTGTGTGTCTGTGTGTGTGTGTGTGTGTGCATGCGTGTGTGTCTCTGTGTGTGTGTGTGTGTGTGTGCGTGCGTGTGTGTGTCTCTGTGTGTGTGTGTGTGTGTGTGCGTGCGTGTGTCTGTGTGCGTGCATGCGTGTGTGTGTGTGTGTGTGTGTGTGTGCGCATGTGCGTGTGTGTGTGTGTCTGTGTGCGTGCGTGCGTGCGTGTGTGTGTGTGCGTGCGTGCGTGTGTGTGTGTGCGTGTATGTGTGTGTGTGTGTGTGCGCATGTGCGTGTGTGTGTGTGCGTGCGTGCGTGCGTGTGTGTGTGTGCGTGCGTGCGTGTGTGTGTGTGCGTGTATGTGTGTGTGTGTGTGTGTACGCATGTGCGTGCGTGCATGTGTCTGTGTGCATGTGTGTGTGTGTGTGTGTGTGTGTGTGTGTGTGCGCATGTGCGTGTGTGTGTGTGCGTGCGTGCGTGCGTGCGTGTGTGTGTGTGCGTGCGTGCGTGTGTGTGTGTGCGTGTATGTGTGTGTGTGTGTGTGTACGCATGTGCATGCGTGCATGTGTCTGTGTGCATGTGTGTGTGTGTGTGTGTGTGTGTGTGTGTGTGTGCGTGAGTGCGTGTGTGTCCGTCGTTTAACCCAGCCCCCCTCAGGATCCAGGCCCAGCCTTTGAACCTGCCTCTTGACTGCGGGGAGCTCTCGGGGTTTTGGTCTCGTGCAGATGTGCACACCGCCGCCGCTGCGACCACCGACCTCCTGCAGCTCGTTTTCTGGGAGGTGTTTTTAATTACCCGCCCCTCCCCGCTCCTCTCATCTGGGCCTTCAGAAGACGCTCCGCCACACATCAAAACAAACCACAATCCTTGGTTTCTCCCTCCAACATCTGTGCTGCTGTTTCAAACCCATTTCTGGTTCCTGCTCCTCCACCCCCGGCCCCGCCGTCCTTCTCCTCAATGCACATTTAGTTCACTTATGGCTCAGAGAAGACATAAAAGCAGCCTTGTCATTTGTGGAGAAATTAAATCACACAAACTGGCATTCATCCCGGGCACTGGTGCATGGGAGTGATGTCAGCGCGCATGAGCATCATCTGGAAAAGTCTAAGATCAATGTCACAAATGAACCCGCAGCTTCTCAGACTCCTAGTTTCTAAGAACCATTTCCCTGTAAATAAGTTTCACACTCATGATCAATTCTGCTCTAAATGTCATTTAGAGCAGGTGAGACTCATCTTTCCCAGAAGCCTTTTCTGCCTTTTGCAGGTAATAGTGAGAAGTGACTGGCCGCAGAGCGCGCATACCAATCTCGTACCTTATTTGCTGGCCTTACAAGGCAGACGGGAGCGTAATGGGTTTGATAGTAAAATAGAAAAGCTGCTCATCTAGAGAGTAGAACCTTGGCTCGGACTGGAATGAAGCCTGAATGCCAAACGGAGGTCCGTAAAAAGCAGAAAGGCATTCCTCTCCTTCAGCTTCGCTCGTTTGAAGAGGCAGACGTGTCGAGAATAGAAGAAACTTTAAAAGTGCCTACCCCCCCCACCCCCCACCCCCACACACACACACTCACAAAGTCACCATGGCCTACGTTTCTCATATTTGTTTCTATTAACACCAAAAGCTGCCGCCTCATGTTTCATGCAGCATCATGAAGGCCTTATTGACGTTTCCTCTTGACGGGGTTTAAAATGTGACCAGCAGAAGCCTTACCGTCCTCTTCACCCTCCTCGGAGTCTATTCTCTCCAGAAAACTGCTTTTCCGTCTGCCTTCCTTACTTTGTTCCTCTTGTCCACTTCTGCATCACTTCTCCTGAAGTCACCTTGAGTCCTCGCTCGCCCTCGTGTGCCTCTTTGTAAAGTTTTCCCCCTCTCCACCTAAACATAAATATGTATCTTCTCATGCTGCCTCCAGCGGCCGTCTCATCCAGGCTGGGGACCCAATCAGACTAAAGGACCTATTGCCCGTCTCTTTACAATCAGTGGGACGACCTCCCCCGGGCTACGGCGTAATCCGGCAATCTCCCACCTCCAGCAGCGGACGGAAGAGAGGTAGGGAAAGTAGAGGGAGGGGAGGAGGATTGACAGCAGGGTGGGGGTGAAGGGGGCTTAGAAAATCAGGCAAGCGTGGGATTGAGGAATGAGAAGCATGAGGTGGAGAAGGACTGGTGCGTTTAAAGGTCTGAAACTGAATAAAACCACGAGTGTGATGGAGGAAAAGTTGAGTTAAAAAGCATAAAACTGAGGTGTGGAGAACCCGCTGTAAGCCTGAACCAACCAGAACCAGAACCAGACATCTTAGATGTTCTAAGGGTCTGGTTTAAAAGCTACTAACGCTCATTTATAACAAACATCCGCAACTACGACAGTAAGTTCATCCCTGACCCTTTACAAGGATGAGGAAATTCATCAACGCTCTGGAGGTTTCTTCCTGTTAAACGGGAGTTTTCCTCTCCACCGTCGCTAAATGCTTGCTTAGGATTCATGACACTAGTCAGTGGCTCGATGCAACCTGCTGGGTTCCTTATATGGGAAACTTGTTACTGATTGGCTGAATGAACTGACCTGTACTGGAATGTTTACTGTGTGAAGGTCCTTGAGACGACGCTTTATAAATAAACTTGAATTGAATCAGTGTGAATCACTGGTTGCTTTAAAAAGGCGGTTTTTACATTAGAAAAGTAAAACAGTCGTTTGCTTTTTTGAAAGTTTAAAACCGTTTCTGGTTTAGGTTCTTTATGACATAATTATACATTATAAAAGTTTTAAAACTGAACAAACACGGTGGACTGTTAGTAAAGTCTGTTTTGTGTCATCGTGTAATTCTATAACCGTGAGACTGAAATAAAATTGGCCCTTGCTGCATGTAGATGCTGCTGCCGAGTCTTAACAAGAACCCGGAGAACCGAGCACATCACTCCTGTTCTCAGGTCTCTACAGTGGTTACCAGTAAACTACAGAATTCATTTCAAAGTGCTGCTACTGGTTTATAGATGACTTTATGGCACGGGGCCAGAATATATGTGGCGTGTCCTTTGGGTATATTCGCCCAGCAGGGCTCGGAGATCCTTAGGGAGCGGTCAGCTGGTAGAACCGGGTCAGAACCAAACAGGGTGAAGCTGCTTTTAGCTACTCTGCTGCTCAAAGTTGGAATCAGCTTCCTCACGACCTCAAACATGTCCTAACTCTGGTGACTTTTGTATCAGAAGTGAAAACGTTCATGTGTTCGTCAGCCTTTGAATGACTTTCTTGTGCGGCACCCTCTGCGCTGCAGCTGCTCAGCCTTTAACTTTGTCTGTGCTGTCCCCTTGTGTCCGTGCTGTTCTCGCTAATGGAGAGCACATCGTCAAGGCACATGTTCTTGATGCTTATTGGTCAGATGTGTCTGGGGCGGGGCTTACAGAAGTAAGTAAATGACAGAAGTAAAATTTACCCCTACCTAAATACCAATGAAGCCATGTACTTTGTTGTAGGTCCATGTTAGTACTCTGTTCGTTTTCCACCAGCTACGGGAAGACATCTGGGTCAAACTTGAGCGTATTTCCAGCAGGTGTGTCAGACTCGAGTTTTGCTTAACTCCACATCTTAAAACGGCCTTTCTGTACAAAAACAAGCCCCGTTTTAAACAGCTTGAGTCTGTTTAACGCCTCATGTTTGAATCGTAAACAAAAGAAACTTCCCTACATTGTTACGATCATTTTAAAAGACCCCGAACCCACCAGAAGTACCCCTCAACAGTGTAGAGGCGGAGGCAAACCTGGTTTAAGTCACGTCTGGGTCTGCGGAGGGACTCATTGGTGCACCTCATTCTGCTTCTTAGAGCCGAAGCGATTAGTTTTACAAATTGGCAAAAGATCCACAAAAATCCGGCACGCACCACGACGCAACAACAGCAGTGACAGATTAGTCACGGAGATCTGATTCTTATTTAGTTCAGAGAAAAGAGGCGCGCTCCCTTAAAGCAATCAAGGAATTAATGCAGCAAAAAAACGAGGCTTTCAGAGTCGAGTCCCCGGCAAATTCCTCCACAGGGAGAGAAGGAAGAGGAAGTGGAACCACACTGGAGACACGCTCGAGCGTGTTTAAACAGAAATGAGATTTTTATTACAGGCAGATGTGCTCGTGTCTTGTGTTAGCCGGGAGTTGTGGAGATTTTGGACAAAAGTTTGGGAGTTCAAGCATGGAAAGTTGCCACGCTGGTTCGACTTTGTCCTTTTTTCCACTCGACGGCCCTCTGACTCTCCCTAATCTTCCTGACAGGGTAATTTGGTGTGTTGTACAGCTCTAAAAATACAGATGAAGGCTGTTGTCACCCGCTGAGGCAGATGGTCTAAAGGTTGTGCTTCTCCATCGGTTCAATATGTTTTTCTCTTTCTCCATCTCCGTCCCTTTCAACATGTCTTCTTTTTTATTTGGCAGGTCATTCTTCTTCACAACCGCCCCGCCCTCCCGTCCCTGCTGCCCGTCGTCTTTGTCTCTTTGAAGACCTGACTGGTTACCAATCTGTTAGCGAATGCTTCACTGAAACTCCCCTTATAGTAAAAAAGAAGGGGTTCCCTCTTTGTCAGGACGGGCCGAGCAAAGGGCGCATTCAGGCCCGTTGAACACCTTCCATCACCCAAAGTGGCGGAAAATAATTGGCAGAACAAATTAAATCTGTAGGACTTACGATAGCCTTTTGTGGTGGTGGACGCCTGGAGAACAAAGCTCTCACAAAGGTTTGGATCTGGCGTAGAAATAGATTAGATACACTTGTTTCTACGTGGTCCTGGACCTTGGTTTAGTGGTCATGTGTGAGATGTCGTACGGACACGGTGCTTTCACGGATCGGATCGAGTACGCCTCTTAAGTGCATTTGTAAAGGACACAACATGTTCTGTCCGGTGTAAGAAGCTTCTACCGTAGAAAATGTCTGATTTCTGTGTGAAAAGTACGTTACATGGTTGTTAGAGCAACATGCCAGTAATCAGTCTACACCGGATGACTGAAACATCTCTGTTGTATTTTCTCTGTGGTTTAAAACATGTTGGAGAGAAAAACAAACTATTAAACTGGGCTGCGGTTCCTTAGGCTGCTATTACTTCCTGTTTGGAGAACCAGCATCTTTCTGGACTGTGGAACAAGGACCAACGTGTGCAGTCCACAAACCACTCCGGTCTCCTGCATTTCGGTTTTTAAAGGTGCAGAATACAGGAAAAACTATTTTTAATGATTATTTCTGATTATAATGAGTTTTTCATGCAGGCCGAACATGAAGATAGTCTCCTACACCTATCTCCTGCATTAGCGTCTGCTAGAAAACAGACGGTGAACCTTTAGGATTAGGAAAGCCTGACAGATCTACGTCACACTGTCACTAACATTCATGGACTCACCCATCTGGACTCACGACGGGGAAGGCTGTTGTTGGTTTAGCGTCCAGGAAACCGCTGAGAACGTCTCGGCTAGTAGAAGCTAACCATTAGCCTTGGCAACTCCACCACACAGCAGAACTCCTCCAGGCTTGTGTTATTTGTGGAGATAAAACATCAACGTTGCAGAGCAAACACAGACAGTGGTAGAGTCGTGTTGCTGTTAGCCAATCAGAGGCGAGATGTTTAAATATCTGGGAATTAGACTCCAGATCCTGTCGTCTGAATCTGTGCTCTCCCCAGCTGATTCTCCCTGTTCACACAAGCGCTTCTGGGCAACATCCGGGTTACTGAGCATGCATGGTTTAGGTCTGCAGGAGGAAACCGGAGCGCCCGCCAAAACCCATGCATGCATGAGAACACACTAACTCTACGTAAACAGGTCGGATATCATACCTGGGACCTTCCTGCTGTGAGGCAACATTCTACCAACAGCATCACCACTCACTTTGTTCTTAGTCCGTTTTTCCCACCGAACAACGTCTGAATGACTTTGCTGCGGATTCACCGATCAACCACGAATCACCAAGTTTTCTGTAGCTTTCTTGCAGGAAAGGATTCCTCGATGCACCAGATGTGCTTTTTGACACGTCTGCTGATTTATCAACTCCAAAAATAAAATCGTGAATTTGGCTGATCTGACTTGCTGGGAAGTTCCCACTAAGACATGGACCGACTCACGTATTCATCGGCCTTCAGATAGAATAATCTAAACAAAAATGAGCCAGCCTCATCCACGGAGTCTCTTTGGCACCACGAGGGAAGAGCATGAAAGAGGTTTAGGGTTCAGAAGAACGAGATGAGAGAAGTTCGGAGAGAGGGAGCAAAGCCTCCATGTCATCTAAGATAAGAGGAGCAGCTCACTCCCCTCCTGCCCGAGATTAAAACCGGCACGGAGCAGAACACGCCGGAGTACAAAGAGCTACTCTGTGTTCGGGACGGCCAGCCCAGGCTTCTGCTTTAGCTCTATGATTCAAACAGAGGATAAATTAGATGGAGATGTTATGGCATCCTCTGTGACAGGTTTACAGAGTGAAGGCAGGTTTCTGTGGCTCTCACCTCACACCAGCATGACTTGTTTGGTTCTGACTAGACACCAGAACCAGCATGGGTCAGCGTGGTGCTGACTAGCAAATGTCACCTAGATTAAAATTGAGATTTAAGCGAATTTCAACAAAGAATAATCGACTGTGGCTGTGAGGATTGCTGAGTACAAGTCGCCTCTTTCTAGAACAGCCCAGGAGTCCACCCCCGTTGAGCTGCTGAAGCCGGCGGTGTTCATCCCGTTTACTCTCATTCTAGTTGTCTTTATGCAGAGCAAACTATAAACTGCATGTTTTATTTATATGAGGTATTATCGTTTGACTATTTACATAGTCGACTCGACAGCAGAACCAGAACTTCACAATAAGAGTCACACACACACACACACACACACACACACACACACACACACACCTCAAAACATGTGACGATAACAGATGATGAATGATCTTCTGAGTTTCATCAGACAACAGGACAAAGAAATCTTTTATAAGATTGAGATGTTATGAAGTGCCTGTGTGTGTTGGAGACTCTTATTGTGAAGGATTAAAAGAAGACCCGAGTGGTGCTGTTAGCGCTGCAGCAGTGGTAGCTAAAAGATATTTAACATGAAAGCTCGGTGTTTCATGTTCATTTATTTTATTTGTTTTCTTCCACCATGTGGCACCGATGCTCTTTGGCATAAACCACAAGCAGGCACAAAAATATTTCCCCTCAAGTTGGAAACAAAACACCCCCTAGTGGCTGGCTGCAGTATAGGAGTTAAACCCCACCTCCTCCGT